CTGCAAGCAGCGTCGTTCGGCCCTCGCAGCGAAGCTGCTCGCCCTCCTTCAGCACCCCCTCCGCTCCATCCCCGACGCTCTCCAAACCCGGCTCCGCGCTTCTCCATCCTGGCCGGCAGCCGAGGGCATCAGGGCATGCCTGTCGGAACAGAAAGTCAGCCACCCCAACACCGGAAACCGTGAAAGGCCTCCTCGTCCACACCTCACCCTGACTCAGCATCCCTTCTGAGCCCACCATTACATGTCTCACCCCTAGGAGATACTCTATCTTTACCACACTGGTGATGTGATGTTCAGTCTCTGGCAAATCGGAGGCTGTTTGTGGAAGTTACAGTCAAACGTAAGGTCACAGCGTCACGCCAGAAATCGCCATGGCATCAAAGCCCCTCACTTTCTGAAAAGCTATCAGATCTGAATGGTCATTACAACATCATGAAGACAGTGCATGACCTTAGTGTCATCTTGACTAAATTAGAGGGGACAAATATGGGCAGTTCACCATAAAACAATAGACTTCCTTTAGTCAGGGGGCGGGGCTTAGGTGATGTCAGCTGTCCACATTGTCACTGTCTTCAGATGTGGTCAGTGATCACACAGACAAAGTATGAAATTGATCTGATCATGCACATGGGAGTTATTAAGTCAAATAAAGTAATGGCGACTGGTCAAAGTTTGAGGCTTAGCCACGCCCATACCTTTATACTTATTTAAAATCCGACGGTTGAATTTTTTCCTCTATGTCTTAAGAGTATATAACAGGAGTTTGAAGGTGATCGGTGGAAAGGGCGAGGAGATATCATTCTCCTTATAACGTGTGCGAAAACCACTAAATTGAGTAATTGCACCAAAATGGCCGACCTCCTGTGCGACATTGCGCTTGGCTCCAAGAGACTTTTGTGTAGGTCCTGAGACACTACATTAGTGTGCCAAATTTTGTGATCCTCAGTCAAAGCATGGCTTGGGGCTGACTGTTTTAATGGTCCTAGGGGGCACTGGTTTGGAAAATAGGCCACGCCCACAAACTTCAGCTGTCCAATTATATTAGGGGTCAGAGTAGGATCACTCATCAGAAATTGTGTGGCAATGTCACAATGATTGAAGAAATGAGAGACAAACGTATTTCCATGGCGTGATGGCGAATTTCGCCATGCTCCCAAAGCCCCGCCTTTATTCGAAACCTGCCAGTACTATAGACCTAGTGACCTCAACTTGTCTGCTGCTATTTGCCACTGTTTGGTGGTGATTGGATAAAAGGAGTCCAATAGGGAGCTGTGAAAAAAAGAGTGGCGTGGCGACAAGTCAGAGTTTGAGGCTTAGCCACGCCCACACCTTTATACTTATTTAAAATCCGACGGTTGAATTTTTTCATCTATGTCTTAAGAGTATATAGCAGAAGTGTGAATGCGATTGGTGAAAAGGGCGACGGAGTATCACTCTCCAAACAACGTGTGCGAAAACCACTAAATCACGCACTTGGACCAAAATGGCCGACTTCCTGTGCGACTTTGCACTTGGCTCTAAGAGACTTTTTTGTAGGTCCTGAGACACCACATTAGTGTACCACATTTCGAAATCCTCAGTCAAAGCATGGCTTGGGGCTGTCAGTTTTAATGGTCCTAGGGGGCGCTATTTCAGCAAATAGACCACGCCCACCGGAATGTCACATCAGATTTTTTGGGGGGCCGGACTAGGATCACTCACAAGAAGTTTCGTGGCGATATCTCTAGAAATGACGAAATGAGAGGCAAACGTAAGGCCTAAGTGGTACGCCTGAGTTCGCCGCGCCGCCACAGCCCAGCCTTCTGCAGAAAACTCCCATAAAGTGACGCCAAGCAACCCCAACTTGTCTTCAGTTACCTGATACAAATTTGGGATGATTATTTGAAAGGGAAAATTTTGGAAAATTTCCCAGTAAAACTTGACCTTTTAAGTCCTGAAGGGGCGGGGCTTATGTGACATCATCAATTGACCATTCATTTGTCTTCGGGGGGCGATGATGATTGTCCATAGAAAGTTACTTTAACTGTAATTCTTTCATTTATGAAATTATAGCAATTTGAATTTTTTTGGCGAGTGCTCGAACTTTGAGGCCTGGTCCCGCCCCTTCAGTATTTACGAAAAGTCAATTTTATTGTCTCATTTTAATCGTCCGTCGCTTCTGTTCGATCGCACACTATTTTTGAGACGATCGTGCGAAAAATGACCAAACTGTTCAACCAAATATAGACCCAAGAAATGGCCGAAACAGGGTCAAAATGGCCACTTTAGTCCAAAATGGCCGACTTCCTGTTTGATATTGACCATGGATGCAAGAGGCTTTTCTGTGCGTATTGTTGAGTTCTACAAGTGTACCAAATTTCATAACTGTACGATAAACTAAGCTTTATGGAGAGGGGTATTTTTCACTTTCTAGGGGGCGCTGTTCAGCCATTCTTTTATGAACTTTCACATTGCCAGTGAAATACGTAAATTTCACGCACTTTCAATATTGGGCCAGAATTTGGTGACTTTTTGGATATGCTAAGACCCCCTAAAGGCCAGTCAAAGACGCGGAAGAAAAAAGAAAGAAAGAAAGCGTAATAATAAACGGAGCAGATACAATAGGCCTTCGCAGCTTCACTGCTCGGGCCTAATAATCAGAGCAAAAACAAGAGGCCTTCGCAGCGCTTTCGCTGCTCGGGCCTAATAATAAACGGAGCAGATACAATAGGCCTTCGCAGCTTCACTGCTCGGGCCTAATAATAAACGGAGCAGATACAATAGGCCTTCGCAGCTTCACTGCTCGGGCCTAATAATGCAAGTGCAAAATGAAATGGAAGGAGGCAGGAATTGAGCAAAAATAGAAATTGTTATTTTGTTGGGGAAATTACTACTGGATTACACTCACTTAACATAGCATTAATATTTTCAGAAACCTACCAGCAGATTGAAAGCTAGCTGACGCGCCAGTCAGGGCAGGTGTTGTGTCAAAATGTGTTTCCCTATCAAAAACGGTTTTCTCCTACGGCTTTGGTCAAAATTTTCCATCGTTCAATTATAACGAGTTCCACTTTTTAATAACATTCTCTTACTTTGATGACCCATCTTGTTCATTACAGCGCGAGAAAAACATTGGGATATATTTATGTCGATGGATGAAACACATTTTGATAGTTAGCAGTTAGATGAGGAAACAATGTTCATGGAGTAAACGCTAACGAATAACTACTGTAATGTCCAAAGAGCTAACTATTAAAAACAAAGGTGGGAATACTAAACAAAAAACATCTACACTAGGTCCAGAGCTAGCATTGGGGACGAGTGATATGTTAGGGTAAAACTCAAATCTGCTGAGGCCATTTTATGAAAGTTGTAGCTATAGTGAATAACCTAATCCACCTAGCTATGTGCCCCTGTTGCAATATTAAATGCGAGGAGTCGTAAAAAGTAGCATAACAAAACAATTTTATGGAATAAACTGCAGCTAGTAGCCTTGAAAAATAACTTACTTGAGCGTCTTGTTGGTTCTGGTCCATTTTGCTGGTGCAGGTGAAACTCTCGCTCCAGATCAGGGCGGGTATTAGCCAGGCTGTTAGTGCGCAGATGCGGCAGCCACACAGGAAAATCCACAGAGCGCAAAACGAGCGCACCCCAAAGAGGTTTGTTCCCGCCCAGTCCCACAAGTCTTTCTATTGGCTGAGCGGTTGCTAGGAGATTGTACTTCTAAGTTTTGAGCGAGAGCAGACAAGATCCGTGAGAGCAGGGGACAGACTTGTGGGAGGAGTTTTGATCCGTGTAGAGAAAAAATTGTCACATGAGAAGACAATACCAGTGTATGAAGGTTAAATCTGAGCGCAAAAACAAAGATTTGAAGGAGAACAGAGTGAATTTGAAAGAGAGCAGACATTTTGAGCGCAAGCATTACAAGTTTTGAGAGCAATAATATAAAATAGTATTCTGAAATTAAAAAGATGGTCTCTTGATATGAAATTCTGCTCTCAAATTGAAAGTTCAACTGCTCAGTTTCTGGCACTTTAATTCTTCCACGCCTCCAGAGTGCCAAAACTCCCAACAGCCGAGCGAGCAGAATCAGAAACCGAGCGCGCAGAAAGGCTGCCACACGTGCAGTGAGGCTGCCGCACCGAGCGCGCAGTGAGGCTGCCGCGCGCATGTTTTCCTCTGCCGTGTGCACGTTGGCCAACGAGCGCACGCAGGTTTGTCACTTCTGCACATCCTTGTGCGCTCACAGACACAGTTTGCTCCCTCTCAGTGTACAAATGACCTCCTCGCCATGTATATTTTCACTCATGAGGTTCTAACCTCCACGCGCGAGTCCCGTTCGCACGCGCGATGTGCACAATACGCGTGCATGGGTTTTGGCTACGCTTGCACGGGTTTTGGCGGAAACCTGACACCATACAGTTCAGTTTATTTCTGAACACAAGTCCTCTCACAGCTCCGAACTGTGCAGCAGATCTAGATCACATGAGAGAACGCCATAGTCGTACATGCTCGTTCCTGGGTCAGTTTTCACTTCCTGTGCATTCTGTTTACGTGTCGAGCGATACGCCTCCATTCCTCGCCGTTCTCACCGGGTTCTTTTGAAAATGGCTGAGACTCGCAAAAAAAATGTGTCTTTGAAGTCTATGATAACAAGAGAAAAGCCTCCGCAGAGAGAAATAAGACCAGAGTTTATATATATATATATATATATATATATATATACACATATATATGTGTGTGTGTCTGTGTGTATAGATAGATAGAGAGAGAGAGAGAGAGAGAGAGAGAGAGAGAGAGAGAGAGAGAGAGAGAGAGAGAGAGAGAGAGAGAGAGAGAGAGACCGTCAGCGAGAAGAAAATAGTCTCAGACAAAAATGGGTCGGTTGAAACTTGAACCACTACAGACGAAGACCTGATCCCATGCAAAGATCAGTAAAAACATAAATCTGAACTAAAGCTAAGCTCTGACCCTGTTTTTGTTCTCCAGACATCAGACCAGAGCGATCTGGAGAGTCTGACCTGTCTGTTGGTCTTGGCAAAGTTCAGTCCAGTCCCAGACAGCGGCACCCCCCACAGGCCTGGAGGACATGGCTTACAGCTGAAGCCCCCCACCGTGTTCATGCAGGCTTCAGGTAAATAACAGGGCTGGAGGTCACACTGGGGAGGAGACAGAGGTCACATGACCATCGTGTGTATTCACGTGTGTGAGAGGTGTGTGTTGTCACCTCGTTGATGTCCATGCAATGTGTCCCATTCCCGGTGGTTCCAGGTGGACATGGACCACAGGTGTATCCAGGGTACTGTAGACTGTCCATGCAGGACACACCTTTGTAGCAGGGGTTAGGGGAGCAGCGGGACCGGGGCTCGTGGAAACCTGAAGACACAGAGGTCAGCTTCAATCAGGTCCTCAGATATGACCCAACAGGTGAAGACAGTTCTGCTGACTCACCACAAACCTGACACTCCAGGATGGTGTTCCTTATCAGAGACATCTCCTTCACCTGAAGACACCCACACAGAGACAGTGATCAGCTGACATCAGTCCACTGAGCCCTATGTCTCACCTGTTCTCTGATGTCCTGTCTAGCATGTCCTGTTGTCTCCCCTGTTCTCTGATGTCCTGTCGTCTCACCTTTTCTCTGATGTCCTCTATAACATGTCCTCTTGTCTCACCTGTTCTCTGATGTCCTGCCGCAGCTCTCCCAGGATCTGGTTGAAGATGATTAACTGACCAATTAGAGCCTTAGTGTGTTCACCTGACAACAGATCAAACAAGCATGACGTCCAGTCAGACATCAGAAAGCAGGACAGCTGAGATCACTAGACCTTCAAGGAAATCTCACCCAAGATGGAGTGGACCTCAGCGTTCACTAAAACAAACAAACAAACAAACAAACATGTTGATGTTGTTTACGTCACTCAGGACTGATCTGATTCTAACGGGTCAGCGGGGACGGTCCAGGTGAACTCACCTGAGCTGTAGGATGATGCATCTCCTTGGAAGGGACAGTCAGTCAGAGCTCCTGCTTTAGCGACACTGCCCCCTAGAGCCAGGCGGAGGGACTCCACTGCCCCCTGGGGGGACGACATGAATAGAAAGAGACAGATGGGTCCAAATGAACACCAGAACATCTTTTAGTCAGAGACACTTGGATTCCTATAAATTATCCTCTGATATCCCTTAATTCATAATCAGAGCCTAGGAGCTGTTTCAAGGACTTCCTGAAATCAAAGGATTTAATGGCATCAGAGGATTTTCAAAATAAGAGGTTTGTTCCTGACATAGAACTTCCCTTAGCGGTGATGGTGACTCTGTCGCTGTCTCAAGGATAAAATCTGAAGAGGAAGTCAATCGTTTTTCATCAAACAATTAAATTAGCCTATAGTTTAAGTAAAAACATTAAGATTTATAACAAATAAACTTCATTAAGTGTCAGCTGTCAGAAACAACTAAATCATTTATAAAGAGATTAGCTCACTTGTTCTTTTATTTGTCGTAAATCAGTTTCACTTTGAAACTTTTTGAAAGTTTAATTCACAAGGACATAATTTTCAGGTATGAGTTTAAACATGAAGATTCAGAGATGCTGATGGAGAAAATGTGTCTCTTTATCTGTTAGAATTGCTGACGTATCAAAATGCTTTAGAGTATTTCCACAGAGTCAGTGGGAAGTTTGATGTTCCAGTCTTTTCTGTAATTGGCACGTCTGACGTAAATCCCAAGATAGATGAGATTTAGTTTTCAGTGATTTTAAGATCAGCTTTCACCACTCTGAGGCTTCAACCAAATCCAAAGAACATTAGTCATGTTCCCAACCTCTTCAGAATGATTGAAATGACCTTCTGGTCTTTATTCTACTGCTAGCTCCTCTTGTTTTAAATCAAGTCCAAATCCTTTAGAATGAAAACAAATCTGTTTCCTGTTTCACACCTGGAACATATTAAAACTGACTTGTTTTAATAGAGCCTAACTGGAAGTTTCAGATGCAGATTTTTTCTCTCTGACCTGGAGTCGAGCGTAGGACTTCTGCCCATGTCTGATCTCCACCATCTCTGCCTCTCTGGGCAAAGGAACCAATGGCGGCAAGCCCTGACTGGAGTCGGCCAATCGGCAGTCAACGTAGAGCTCCACCTGCATGTTGTTGCGCTGAAGTCCGCCAAGTCTAACAATGATGGAGTGAGTCCGGCCATCAGCCAGGTTGGAGTTCTGCAGGTTCACTGTGTGCACCTTCCCGTCAGCTTTAACATACCGGACCAGAACTGAGGAGGAGGAGGAACAGTTTGGGCATCTATTAAACTCTTAATACATTGTCAGAATATTGCACCAAATCTTGTATTAGAGGTATAAAAGGTACAAAAATAATGTACTCGAGTAAAAGTAGTTACTGAGATTTTACTCAAGTCAAAATAAGGTTTTCTCTCTGATCCAAAGGACAAGATGGAGGATTTTTCTCCAGCTATAGATTCTAAAATTAAGACAGTTTTGAAGGGTTCCTGTATTTTCACCACAACTCATTTCAAGAAAAAATGTAATCAGAAAAAGTTTGTCTAAGTATATCTATCTATCTATCTATCTATCTATCTATCTATCTATCTATCTATCTATCTATCTATCTATCTATCTATCTATCTATCTATCTATCTATCTATCTATCTATCTATCTATCTATCTATCTATATATATATATATATATATATATATATATATATATATTATATATATAATTATTTGAAATAAACTATCAGCAGGTCAGAGCTGTGCAAGAATCAGAAATCCTTGTTGGCCCTGATATAATTGGTGGGTTGCTGGTTTGAATCACCCTGCTACCATCATTTTATTTTATTTTTTTTGGTAAAACACTTCAACCTCCTTGCCTGCTGGTGGTCACAGGGAGCTGTGACACCAGAAGAGGCACGCTGAGCGGGTAAAGCTAATGCAAGGAAAGCTCCTACACGTGACTGAAGGAACTCTTTCATGGAGATTCTAGATTACTTGCCTCTGATTTTAGTTTAAATGTTTACATTTACAGTTGTTTTAGTCATTAACAAATTAAATCTAAACTGTAACAAAGTAGCTACAATAATTGAAAAACAAGAAAACAAAAGAAGAAGTAACAATCTTTTATATAGCGCCTCTCAAGATGAAGAGGCACTTCACAAGAACAAAAAAACAACAGCAAAGATCTAGAAAAATTACTTTAACCCTCCCACTGTCCTCATGGGTGACTCTGCCAGGAAAGTTGACCATTGAGCGGGTTGATGGTTTATCCCTTGAGGTCCACATAAGTATAATAAAGTACTAAATTACAGCAATGGAGTAAAAGTAATTCATTACTTTATTTTACTGGTGTTAATTATGCAGTTTATGTTTATTTGTTTGGCAGACGCTTTTATCCAAAGCGACGTACAATTTTTAACCTATAGGGCATGTTGTGATCAGTGGGAAAACCGAAGTACCTGCAACCTTCTTGCTGTAAGGCAACACTGCTAACAACTGCACCACCATGCAGCCCAAAGCTAGCATCGGTGTCCCGCGTGACAGGTGGCGGTACTCTCAACTATACTAACGAGGACTAAGGAGGACGTGATGGACTGATGTCGCTCTGTTGTGCTTTTGCTCCACATCAGCAGCTGCAGGACAAGAAGAGCTTTGTAAAGGAGAAAGTCGAACAAACATGAAAAAAAAAGGTCCCAAACAGTTTAAAGAACTGGACCGCTGGAGATGAAGAACCCTAACCAACAAAACGCAGAGAAGAAAAAAAATACATTATCAGTTTGAAAGCATAGAAAACATCAAGAGAACCGTGGAGAAGAACCCATAGAACATCAGGAGAAACATATAAAGAATAAGGAGTAGAATGGAAGGTTTCACTCTGAGTTGGTCTCTCTGGGTCAAAGGTCACTCTGGTCACAGTTTGTAAGCGGTGGGGCCTGATGATTGTGGTGGTTCTGATCCTGTTGGGACAGCTGCAGACTAAACTCAGCCATCATGAAGAACGTCTCAGAACAACAGAAGTGAGTCAGAACCAGATCCCTGAATGAGGCCTTAAGGTCCAGCAGAGACATGTTAATATGTTCAGACTGAACCATGACCCAAACACCCCCTCCTCGTCCCGACCCGATCACAACCTTCCACCTTTTACTGTTTGGGTTTTAAATGGCCGTGAAACAGATGAGAACATTTGACGTTCCAGAACCTTTAGGAACTAGTCGTCTCTTTTTCCTACGGAGTTTCCATGAAACGCTCTGCTGATTCCTCTGAGTTAAACCCACTTTGTGTTTTTATGGAAACACTCCACCAGCAATTCCTCCTGACACATTCAGGATCTGTGGAAACTTGCAGCTCTCCAGCTGAGTCTGAAGTTACGAGGACGTGAAAGAAGTTTGGACCAGAACCTTTCCACCAACCTTTGTTGATCTTCCCCATGACGGCGACCTCCAGGTACTTCCTGTTGTCCTGCTTGCTGTAGAGGCCGAACAGAACCCCGCCCAGCTTCGCCGGCAGCCGGAACGTGGACACCACGTAGACATCACTGAGAGCGCTCAGACCACCAGCCAGCTTCTCCACCGCTGTGACGGTCTGCTTGGAGTCCTGAAGACCCAACATGTCGATCACTGGGAGGAGTACAGAAGTTTAAATGTCTCTGAGACGTTTGACTCAACCAAAAAATTATAATCTATTAGAAGACCTGCTGGACTCTAACACCAGGACTCATCTGCTGCTCCTCCTTCCTGCTGCTTTCTGACTTCTTGATCAGAATCTGAGCTTCACTGAAGCTGACACGTTTATTACAGCAGAACCTGAAGGCAGCAGAACTTGGACCCATCTGTCCTGCAGGGAACCACAAACCGTTTAAGCAGTGTTGGATTGTGGAAAATCCTCCTGTAGATCTGAAGGTTTTACTGGTCCAGGAGAACCCTCCAGTGGTGTGCGGCAGAACATCTGGAACCAAACAGCTGCAGACTTCATGGAGTCCCCCTCCCTCTCTATAGGAAACTCGTATTCTGAGACATTTCCTGAAACATTAGCCTGGAGTGGCAGACTGGGATCATGGCCTCGGGTTTCTGAGGCAGAACTTGGACCTGTTTCAGACGCAGACGGCTGATTGAAGTGAAGGTCTCAGATGTAAAACACACCATTTGTCTCTAATCAGAACCAGTTCTGCTGCTTCTGGACAGATTTTCTGCATCGAAATGTAGAAACGGTTCTGACAGCACAATTCTGGGAGGTCAGAATTCAATTCTAACTTCTGATATGGAGATCCGGATCACAGTACAACTCAGCTCCACCTCCCAGTACCAGTCTGGTTCGGTTCAGAAACCTGAGTGTCAAAGGTCAGAATTGTATTACTTTTATTTGATTAAATACTGTCAGATGGAGGTTAATTGGAGTAATCTGATTCTGATCTGGATTCCAGTTTTTTTTTTCTTTCAGACTTGAAAGTTCTGGACCTCTGGTCCGTCTGGACACGGTTCGGTTCTGTTTAAGAGAAAGACTGAGTCTGGTGGAAGTTTCATCACCTGTTGGATTAAATAAAACTCTGCCTCGGTTCTGTTACCTTGAACATCCGGTCCATCCAGGACTCCCGCCGTCAGCTGGAAACCGATGACTGACAGCAAAACCGGGAAACTCCAACCCATAATGGACCGGGAAGAATAATTCGAACCACCAGGTCAGGTTTAATAACGGGAAAGTCCAAAGCTGTTAGCCCGATCAGCGGTTCGGAGAAGGAGAGAGTGTCGGTACCGGGGGAACCGATTGGGTCCAGACCGATAAAACAGCTGCGGAGCAGTGCCGAGAAGCGCTGCAGTTCAACCGAATACCGACCAGCCAGATGAGGAACTAACGGTCCGGACAGCTCACGAGCTCAGCTGTGTCTGCTGCTGGCGCGCGCCGCGAGGCTCGTGCGCGAGCCCGGTGAGCTAATGAAGGCGCGCTTCAGAAAGTGATTAGAGACAAAAACAGATTTAATTTAGACTATTGTCACTTTAAAGTTCAAATTAATGTAATTTAGAGGAATTTAATTAGAAACTACATTAATTAGATTTAGTTCAAAATCAGAAAGTCTGAGAAAAAACCAGGGGCGCCTCCAGAAAATTTTGATAGGGGGTGACCAGATGGGGCCAAAGAAATTTTTGGGGTGGCACACCAAATTGGCCCTTGTGGTAACTCTGGTTGAATTTAGTATGGCGATTTGCTGCATTGCACCTTTATTTGTTTTAATTAAAATAACTGTAGGTATCCAAAACATTTAACTGAAATTTTACAAACACAAACATTTTAGAAAAATACATTTCAGTTATTTAAAATGTTATCCCAAATATTGTAAAACATATTTTTTTTGTTAATTCACCTGTTGCTGTGTTAAAAAAAACTATGGAGATAAAAACTTATTTAAAATGGTGAGCAGCAGAAACATGATTCTTTTTTTATCCTGGTTATTTCTTAATGCATTAATTGTAATATTTTATTTTGTTTTACAATTATGTCTTGAATAAACAAAATCAATCTATGGTTAGACTGAACATTAATATGATTTGTTAACACTGGTTTTCCTCGGGGGGGGGGGGGGGGGGGGGGCGCAATTTTCTAGGGGTGGCCATGGCCACCCCTGGCCAAACCTTGTGGGCGACCTTGGAAAAAACACAAAGTCAAACTATTCTCCGGCGGAGCATCAGGAAAATATTCAGGGAATCTGATGGCTTCAGTCTGTAAGGAAGAACACAGAAACATAAAGATCAGACAAGCTGAAACAACCAAAGCAAGTCCAGATGTGTCCAGATGTTGTGTGACAGGAAACTGCTGGCGACCTGTGGAGCGCCGATTCTAAATCAACGAGTTCACATGTTAACAGCTTCATCACGTGTTGCTACTCGTAATAACAAGAAGGACTGGAAAATCCCATATCACATTTTCCCATTGATTTTGGAAATAATGTTCTGTAATTTCAAACATCAAAGAAAATAGCTAATCAAGGTATTTCAATGGTACATTTACAACGGCATATGCCCTCACAGGCTAATAAACAGAGAAAGCGGATAAAAACATGCAATAACTTACATCACATATTAAAAAAGAAGGAGTAAAAAAATAGATTAAAAAGGTAAATTTGCAAATCAAGTGTTAATAAAAATCTGTCAAGTTATGTCTTCAGCAGTGTTTTAAAAGTAGCTAAAGATTGAGCAGAGCTGATATTAAAGGTATTTCAGTTTTGGAGCAGACATGAAGGATGCTGGAGCAAGCTGTGGGATGCAGCGGAGCAGAGCAGAACACAGAAAAGCACGGTGTAAATAAAAGTGTGTAAATTAGACAAAGAAATCTACTGAGTGGTGTGTGTGGGATCCCGGGAGAGGATGTGATTGCCACAGGTGTCCCATAAGGTTCTCAGTCGTAGACCAGGTGTAGGCAGTCCAATGGGCAGTGAGAGGGTGAGGCACAGAAACAGGTTCAAACTGTTCAAGAACAACTGAGCGCTGGAAAGGAACACTAGGGTCAGAACAGAAGCAGTGGACAGAAGATAATGGCCAATACATTGTCAGTGAAGAAATCTAAAAACTGACACACACACACACACACATTGTGAAGTTTCACTGTATCACAAGGATTAATTAGTTAATGACAATAAATTTAAAATAAATAGACTCAACTCAAAACATTTTGGCTTGTTTTTTTTACAACTTCCATTTATTAAAGCTAATTGTGGGTGAAAAAAAAACAGATTATTTTACAATCAATGCTCAATACAGTCAAGATGGTGCCCGGAACAAAGGGTTGAACTCCTGATCCAGTTCTAAACTCCAGTCTAGAACCCAAAACTAGTTCTGATGTGACACAATCATTAAAATAAGACAGGCCCTTCTTAATTATCCTCTCAAATGCATTTGACACAATCATCTCTGGTGACCTGTTGTCCATCCTCTCTAGCACAGACATGGACAGGGACCACACACTCCTGGTTTGAATCCTACTTTACACGTCAAGCATTCAGCAGATCCTGGTTTGGTCATACTTCTGCTGCACACCACCCTCACCACTGGGGTTCCCCAAGGCTCAGCATTGGGACCTCCTCTCTTTGCCACAGATGCCACCGGACTGGGACACCATGGCTTCTCCAGCCCAGTTAATGAGACCCACCTCTACCTGTCATTCCCACCTGATGACTACACAGGACCAGCGCAGATCCCAGACTGTCTCTGATATGGAGGTGGATGGAGTCTAGTCATCTCCAACCCTTACTAATGTCTTCTTTACCGGTGTCCCAGCCTCTGTTGTAAAACCTACTGAGATGGTTCAGATTATTTTAAGACTCCAGCAGAAGCACAGAACATGATGGTTGTGTCTATAAACCAAAAACAGATACTTCAAACCTGGACCAGAGTCTTAGGGAAGCTTCATCCTTCATCTGGTGAAGACCTGCTAGCTGGATCTTCACAGAAATGAACCAACAGCATGATCTGAAGAGTTTAGTGACCTCTTTGAGATCCTGATTTATAAATGAATCCAGGATTTCTGGCCTCCAAACAGAACTCTGGTCAGAACATTCAGCAGATGATTCTGTGGCTCAGAAGAACCAGTCCTGCAGTCAGTTAGCCGTTTGTGACGCATGATCGGGCGTCGTCTGAGTGTTTCAGAATGAAATCACCAGAAGAGACATGAGCCCAGTGTTTCTCTGAAGGCCTCCTCCTCCTGTTTGTTTGGTATGGGGCGTCGCCATGGAAACCTGTACACCAGCAGGTGAGGAGGAGGAGGAAAGTCCTTTTTCTTTCTCCAACCAACAGAGAGAAAAAGATCAGAATCACCTGGGAACTCTTTCTGCTTCCTCTGATCCAGTTGCAGAGGAGTACTGGTGGTTTTGGTTCTGAGTGAGTTCAGGTTTAGGTCCAGAGGAAAGAGCAGAATGAATTCAGCTCCATAAACTGTTTCCAGATCAGCTCATTAAGCAGTACAAGACACTGGCGTGAACAGGAGCCAGGCCAGGATTCCTGTGTGGTGCCGTCATGTGCAGCTGGACGTCCCGCGGGGTCCAGCTCAGGTCAGGACGGGTGGAGACTCGAGGTGGGTAGGTAGATGAGCGAACAGAGGTCAAAAGCTGCATTTGCATGTTCTCTCATTTAGAAAAAAATAACTAAATAAATCTGATCTAATTCTGTACTCATCCGCCCATCTTCTCTTTGAAAGCTTAAAATGTGAGCTAGAATCTGAATCCTTTAGCTTTATTTTATGTTCGTGTCCTGTAAAAGTCTGTCGTGTCTGAAGGCCACATTCAGGTCCCACAGGTCTGGTTGCGGATGCTTTTTCTGTTAAAGCTGAGGATTGTTTTCTATCTTCTAACGAAGGTCTGCCAAACTCATTCCAGCAGGTTCTTCTGATACGAGAAACCAAACCCCCTTTGATCCTACAGACAAACAAAAAACATGAAGTAATCCTTCACTTCTGATTTTAGCTGCTCCGGAGATCGGATCTGAGTTTCCATCCTACAGGAACCGGTGTGGACCGGTCCGGAGGCTCAGGTGAGTTCTGATCCACAGCTCGACCATAAAGAGAGTTGGTTAGATACTAATCTTGCTCTGGAGCGGGTTTTTCCTACATAATTTATATAAAATAACTAAAAACATTTGTGTCTTCATCACTTTGAGGTGAAAATAGTAATGTGTCTTCTGGAAAACCAAAGTTTTAATTTACAGAAGTTTGTTTTTATCAGAATCTGTTGACGGCAGACAATGAAACCAGTGGGATAAGTTTTTAGGACGATTCAAAATAAAAATATTAATGATGATGTGATTCCTGTTTCAATTTTAAGAAATATAAACACATGAAAAGAAAGCAGCAGGAAATGACTCCACTTGTTTTAATAACAGCTGATGCTGAATCCACTTCCTGTCTGCTAGGCAGATCCTCAGGGTTCATAAATTATTTTACAGGCTTCACACAAACACCGTTCCCAGAGCCTCCTTTAGGGAGATCCATCTAAAACTGTCTTGTAATGTCCCATTTATCTTCAGCTGCCTCCTTGCTCCTCGTGCTGGTGAGATTCGATGGGCTCCAGGTCTGGCGGCTCCTCCAGCGCCCCCTGTTGGACATGCAGGATGGACACCATGCCGGTCAGAAGGGCGTAGCTCAGCATGGCGCCCAGAGCCACCAGAGCCGACAGCAGCTGCTTCCTGCGTTTGTTGGGAACGTTGTCGAAGTCTCCACCATCCGGCTGGGGGGGTGCCTTCGGACCAGAGCTTTCTATAAAAGACATGAAGGTTCATCAGCTGTAAAACCTAAACATCAACAGCAGGGTTCACAGAAAAGTCAGCAAGCAGAACGGAGGATTAACTTTTACTGACGAACTAGATGGAAAACATCAGAATCTGGAATCACCCAATAATAAGCCATGTCCGTTTCCCACCTGATCATCAGGACAAACCTAACGTTATTAATAACATTTCAACTTAAGCACTGGGCAACATTTAACATAACTCTCTGACAGGAATCACTGGACGAACATCAGAACTAATACCAACACCGTCTTCATGGCTTCTGGTGAAAACAACCTCACCTCGGCCATCTCTGGGGAAGTAAAGCAGCAGGATGTCGGAGCAGAAGTTGGTCAGGTTGTCGAGAGACTTCAGGTGTTGCTGCAGCTTCCCGTTGGGAAGTTTACACTTCAGGATGGGAGCCAGGTGACCGAACACGTAGGCGTCAAGAGACGAAGGTCTGCAGGGAAACAGTGCAACGGTTATCTCACTCAGGAACAGAGATCCAACCACACCAGTACTGACATGACCTCTGGTCTGCTGAATAGAGAACTGAAGTGATGTAATGATTTTATTCAAGTAGGATTCCAGCTGGAACTTTATTTTCTAAATGTTGTAAACCCATCTGACTGCATGTTTAAGCAACAATAAGCTGATAATGTTTGAATCAGATGGGTTCTGTTCAGTGATGATGCAGCTCTGGCTCACCCCTTGAGTTAGGAGCTTTATTCTGTCTGAATAATTCAGAGGTCAGGGACTTAAAAAACAAAACCTCTGAGAGGTTCCTGGTACCAAAGCTAAAGCTAAATCAGTCAAAGCCCCCAAAACCTCCTTCAGAAACTCTGCAGAACTGACTAAAACTACAAAAAGAGAACTAGATCTGAGGCTGTGGACTGGATTGGGAGTTCGGAACCAAATGGGAACCAGATCAGGAGTCCTGAACAGAATCAGGAGTTCTGGGCCAGATCAGGGCACTCATTTATCAAATATTAGAAACTGCTTTATATTTCTTCCTACGAAGGAAATTTAGAATGTGTACCAACTGTCAAAAACCTGATTTATGAAAACCTCGTACGCACGTTCCTCCGCAACCGTCTGATGAGAAATCCCTCCTGTGCGTACTCAGGTGCTTGTGTCCGTTCTCAGTCATTTACATACACAAACACCTTCAATTAACCATATTTGGTCACGCTATGTCCTCAGCACATGAGGGAATTCCCAGTTTTTTGCCCAGAAAAATAAGAAAAGCTTTATTGACAGCGAGATCGAGACACTGGCTGCCGAAGCACAAAATAACTAAACAAGTTGCAGAGGTTATAAATGCGGTTGGGACAGAGGAGAGGTTCCTTTCAGAAATAAATAAAAGAATGAATCTGATAAATCGTGGAGTAATGGGTTGTTAAGGAATCATTCTGAGAGTGCAGCCTCTTCTGAGCCGTCATTCAGTCTGGTTACCTTGGCAACGCGGCATGTATGATCGGGAGGCAGGGGAGGTTCTGGAGGGTTCTCGTAGTTGTATCAGATTTGAGAGCCACAAAGGGTCCCAAATCACAGCATTGCAGAAGGATTTCCATTGAGATCAGTGCTCTCATGGAGGATGCGTTGCCTCATGGTTGCCTCAAGTGTGCACGCTCTTTTAAATCTTCCAATAACACAGATTATCCATAAATCAGATTCCCGTCTGCCACATGTGTCTTTTATTGGTTTTAGAGTGGATGAGGAACATGTGTGGATCACCTTCACTAATGTGGTTCCCCGTTCTACCACTAGGTGCTGTTCCTACGCATGGTCTGAGCTGTTCTTATATTTAGGAACATTTCTACACACAGGTACAAATTGTTAAATACCACACAATGAGTAAAATCGGTCCTACGCATGAAATACGAACAGATCTGTTCATAAGTACAGTTGATAAATGAGGGCCCAAGAGTCCTGGGCAGGATCAGGAGTTCTGAGTCGGATCAGGAGTCCTGGGCCGGATCGGGAATCCTGGACAGGATCGGGAGTCCTGGGCTGGAGCAAGAGCTTATTCCAACAATAAAATGGATGAACTTACGAGTCTCCAAAGAAAAACTTCTGTGAGCCGAGTCGTTGGGACAGCAGGTTCATGCACTCTGCAGCATCACAGTACAACTGGAAAACAACCAAAATAACAATAGTCATCAAAACAAGGAGCCTACACGTTTACCTGAGCTCTACCAGAACATCAGTTAAAACGGATCCCGTTCACAACCTGGATCTGCCAACAGAACGTTCTTCTCTTACGGCTTCTATGAGCAGCCAGCAGCAGTGATCCGTGTGAACGAACACATTCTTTAGTAACTCTTCTACTGAGAGACCAGAGAGCAGAACTGGTGAGAAAAAAAACCAAATCCTCAAAACAGGTTCAGACTGAAGCACATGCACAGGAAATAAACCCACAGATACCAGTAGTTACTGGGAGGGAAACAGTCTGGTTCAGACAGGAGGACTCTCAGCAGAGGAAAGGACATGATCGATTCTGTACCGGAGACCATGAGACATGAAACAAACCATCTGTTCTGGATAAATGAAGAAACGATTGCTGGTTTCCAACTCAGTTCAGGAAGAACTAAAATAAAGTGGAGATGCAGCAAAAATGAGCTTGGAATCCTTAGATCAGCTGATCTGATGGTGCTGTTTTCAGGTCCGTGACCTCACCATCACTAACCTCCGACTCACACCAGCAGTAACGGATCCTCCATGCAGGCTTCTGCCCCCAGAGTTTTGAACAGAACTGACAAAAAACAATGAATCTGACTAAGCAGGTCAGAGGGGTTCATGAATCAGGAATCAGTACCGCTGCATCTGTTACAAACCACCGGAGGTTTGAATTCAACAGAAACTCTGAGCTAAGATGTGTCGCTAAAACAGCGGACATCACAGATCAGACCACGCTCTGTGACCTTTGACCCAAACAGAAAACTCCAATGCAGAAAGTGACCTGCAACTAAGAACAAGAGCACTCGGGGACATGGCCTCTGAGCAGACTGGAACTGCGGAAAGTTCTGGTCCCACCACAGCGTTTCAGTCAGGTTCTGGTCTGGACTCTGACTGGACCTTGGTTCTGCTGTAGATCTGCTCCTGTGTTTGGATCTTAGTTCTGTTTCATGGCCTAATTTTGTCCAAGCTTAAGATGGTCCCAAACCAGACTCCTGGTCTTGGAGGAGGTAGCTGCTGGGATGTCCACTAGTTTTCTATTTAGGAATGAACAGTTGGGAAATGACCTTTGACCTTCCCCAGACCGTTTTGGTAAAGACAACATGGACTAATATATTAATGTTAAATTTACTTCACAACAAATGTTTGATTTGTCTTCTTGACACATAAACCCGTAGAATTAGAAGTCAGTGACCTTTGACTTCCTGGATGAGAGGACATCTCACCTCCTTCTCCAGCTCCTCTCCGGCCTCCAGGCTCTCGTCTCCTCTCAGCAGTCGGAGTTTCTCCAGCTGTCTGCTTTGCATCCGTCCAGGCAGGAAGAAGTTCAGAGGGAACGTCATGTGCTCGGCGTACCAGCGGCGAGTGACATCTACGTAGTTTTTGGGCTCAACCCAGAAGGTATAGATCTGCAGGAGTTCAAACCGGAGAATCAGGAGCAGCTTCAGGAAAATCACTTCATGTTTAACAAGAACAAATCGTGTCACCAGAGCAGGAGTGAGCTTCTCCTCCATTAGGGAGATGAAGGCCAGGCTGTCAGCTCCCTCCTTGGCCGACAGGTCATAGTCTGCATTGAATTTCTGGAAAACAAATAAGACATCATGTTGACCCAAATAAATGAGAAGAGTTCATTCCTGCAGCTCAGATGAGTCAGAAAACGCTCGGCCTGCAGCAGGTGAACAGAAACACTTCAGACAGAGTTTTACTCCAAACAGGCTGAATATGAAGTTCATGCACACGCACACACACACACACGCACGCACACACACACACACACACGCACGCACGCACGCACACACACACACACACACACACACACACATACACACACACACACACACACACACACACACACACACACACACACACGAGGATGATGAGGCTGCAAGAGAAAGATTAAATCAGACTGATGACAATTAAAGAGACTGAAACTCTGCAGCTGAGAAAGAAACTGCAGCAATTTCCTCCTAGGAGCTTCTTCAGGAGCTTTTCCGTCTTTGTGGTTTGGAAACGACCTACTGCAGCGAGAGCACACTGAGCATGCTGGGTAATGTGTTCCAGCTGCTGTTAGAGAAACGGAGGCTAGAATCACAAACTTTGGTTCTCACGTCTGTTGAGGGTCTGACCTCATGAGGAAATTACTATGCAGTGATTTTCTCCAAAATGACTGTGCTTAAATTGCTCTGAAAAGCAAATAATCACATCAGCGCCAAGAAACTTCATTTCCCATGATGCTTTGCACACGGAAGCATTGTGATGACGTCACCGCCTAATACCAGAAACACATTCTGTGCATGTGCGGGAGTCACGGAGCTTTCCCGCGAACTCAGACTATAAATCATCAGGAAAGACAAAGGAACCTCGTTCTTTTGCCCAGGATACCTGGCGGTAAGGACACGCTTGTCGAACGCTCCGACTCCCTTGAGCACGCGGAAGCTCTAAGTGCCCAAGTTGAGCCCACGGGACCGCTGGGAAAAACTAAACTGCAAGCCCATCAGATCTGCTCGTTTCTGCTCCCCTCCAGCTGATGTTTGAGGACACAGAACTGCGGAGGAAAGCAACAACTCCATCCAGCTCTCAGAGACGCTGTAAGTTGTCAAACTCAGCACAAAAGAAACTTCGTTCTCTTTGTGTCCAGCCCGTGGAGAAACACTCACGGAGAACGCCAAACAACGGAGAAAGCATCAAACCGACGGACGACGCCAAACTGCGGAGAAACACGGAGAACCGTCAACTCAAAGAGTGAGGGACGCCTCGCTCTTCTGGTGATCAGAAACTCATCTCTTTCTCTCCTTCTTCTTCCGTTTCCTCTATAGTCCAGAATAAGCAATAAAACCGCGCTATTGCTTAAAAAGTAGCTTCGTGTTTTCCTCTTTCGTCCCAAACACGTCCGTCGGGTCATTTTGAAAGAATAAACTTCTTATTTATCATTGTTTGAATATCTTTAAATGTTTCCTACTATGGCCAAGTGGTGAAACTAAAAGATATTAACTTGTGATTAATCTTTTGTGTTGTTTCATGATCCTTTGAAATGTTTTGAGTGATTTAAGGTTAAGTTACTACTGATTCTAAGTGCCTTGGAAGTTAAAGTGCAAGTTGCCACCCACACTTTAGCCAGACAAAGGGGTCAGCCATCTTGTATTCAAGACTCCATTTTGAATCCATACACACGCGCACACGCACACACACACACTCTACTCCTTTGTGAGAACAAAGGACCCCATTCATACATCCTCCATCACACGCAAACACATCCATCTTCAATCATATCACGTGGTTATTATTAATTTGTTCCATTGTTTATTCATTTAACAAATTGTTTAATTAAATGTTATAAAATTCAGATTTTTGTGTCCAGTAGCTTTGTTGTGTCGAAGAGAAGTCTCTGCTCCGAGGATTCTACGAACTTCAAGAAAGACTGATAAGAGTTTTGGATTCAATTTTTCCCAGGTAGAACGGGGTGGTGCCCCATAAGATACGTAAGAGTATCTTAATTAATTAATATATCGGTAAATATTCCCATATTTACAGAATTTATTGAAGAATCCAAAAGTAATTAATTAATTACTAATTACTCGCTCCTAATAACCCCAACACGTCCATCTGGACTGAACTTGTCTATGAACACACAAAAGAACTGGCGAGCCGTGTTGCCGTGTGAGCAGTTCTGGTACGTTTGGGTCGGAGCGCTGCTCCAACAGTGCAATACTCTCATGAGAGACGAGCAGGATATTGAACATGTTTGATTAATCATGCGACCGCACGATTGCTGATCAGGAGCAAGTTGTGAGGTGTTAATCGCCTCTCGTAAACTCCTGGACACCACATGACGTAAAACTCACCCTGGCCACAAAGATTTTCGCATGAGAGGAAAATCGGTTCAAAACGGTTTAATAATCGCACAGTAGGATGGAGCACCGTAGGATCCTAAGTGTCCCCATGGTTGCTATGGTGATTCCAGGTCTCTGGGCTCCTTTGATGATTTTTCAGGCAAGTCAAGGTGAAGATACTCTAAGATGATTGACCACAAGGTTAAGGCTTCCAGATCAAAGAAGATGTGATTCACTCCCATGTTCATAAACTACAAAGGAATTAAATATCCTTTTTAATTTGTTTGGGTTTCTATGTTTTAGAGTTCTAGAACTGAAACCTTTCCTGTAATTGCCCGAGTAAACTTTAACCACTTATAACTTGAAAAAATAAACAAAGACTTTCTTTAAATGATGAAAGTCAACCATGAAAACTATATGAACTATTTTTCATAAAAAATCTGAATCCTCTTTAATGTTGGCGTTCACCTGTTTTCTGAGGTGGATGATGATGTCAGCCGGTCGCGACAGAGTCTCTTTCTGATTCGTCTTCAGAGCAGGAAGAGAACCTTTACAGGATGAAAGAAATCTGTCATCAGATCTAGTTTCTTCTTGGTGATCGTAACCAAGGATCAGACTCACCGCTCGGACTCCTCCAGGGGTTGCAGATCTTCCGAAGTTTCAGAGGAGCTCCAGCAAACTGAGCGTAGGCCTGAAGACACAAAACCAAGATCAGGCATCCAGGCCTTGTAGCTGACAGTGGAGCAGATAAAGCAATAAGACACCAGCTGGAGGTTTTCCAGGACTAGTGGGTGACCTTTTTTTACTGATTTATTTTAATTTTTGTTCTTGTGAAGCGCTTCGTGATTTTTACCTTGAGAGGCACTATGTGAAAGATTGTTTCTTCTTCTTCTAGGTGATAACTAGACAGTAACTAGTTGGTGACTAGGAGTTGACTAGGTGGCAACTACTGTAGTTGGTGACTATGTGGTAACTAGGTGATGACTAGGTGGTAACTAGGTGTGACTAGGAGGAGAGTAGGAGAGTGGCAAATAGACGTGACTAATTGGCGATTAGGTAGAGAGTAGGTGATGACCACATGGCGACTAGTTACTGGTTAAAGTTGGTGACTAGGTGGCGAGTATGTGACAACTAGGCAATGATTAGGTGGCAACAAGGTGGCAACTAACTAGGCTGTGACTACGTTGTGACTAGGTGGTAGCTAGGTGGTGACTAGACGGAGAATAAGTAGTGATAAGGCAGTGACTAGGTAGTGATTAGGAAGTGACTAGGCAGCAACTAGGCTGTGACTAGGCAGTTTATAGGTAGTGACTATGCAATGGGTAGGTAGTGACTAAGCGATGGCTAGGTAGTGACTAAGCGATGGCTAGGTAGTGACTAAGCGATGGCTAGGTAGTGACTAGGCGATGGCTAGGTAGTGTCTAGGCGATGGCTAGGTAGTGACTAGGCGATGGCTAGGTAGTGACTAAGCGATGGCTAGGTAGTGACTAAGCGATGGCTAGGTAGTGACTAAGCGATGGCTAGGTAGTGACTAGGCGATGGCTAGGTAGTGTCTAGGCGATGGGTAGGTAGTGTCTAGGCGATGGGTAGGTAGTGACTAGGCGATGGCTACGTAGTGACTAGGCGATGGCTAGGTAGTGACTAGGCGATGGCTAGGTAGTGTCTAGGCGATGGGTATGTAGTGACTAGGCGATGGGTACGTAGTGACTAGGCGATGGCTACGTAGTGACTAGTGTAGAGTTAAATCTGCATACTGAAATCACCTCTGTTGCTATTCAGTGGAGATTCCGAAAAATGAACAATCAGATTAACCTATGAGGCTTAGATCATATATAAATATCCCGGATACTTATACATATTGATCCAAGTTCATACATCAACCTGCTTGATCTAATTTTAATCCAACGATGGCTAGGTAGTGACTAGGCGATGGGTAGGTAGTTACTAGGCAATGGGTAGATAGTGACTAAATGATGGCTAGGTAGTGACTAGGCAATGGGTAGGTAGTGACTAGGCGATGGGTAGGTAGTAACTAGGCGATGAGTAGGTAGTGACTAAGGTATGGGTAGGTAGTGACTAGGCGATGGCTAGGTAGTGACTAGGTGGAGCTCAGGGATGTGAAGAGCAGCTTGTCCTTCAGTGAGTGACGCGTTTAAACTTCTGCCTGGGGACCAAAAGCTCACAGGTGAAGAACCAATCTACAGGTCAGACTGTAGAGCTTTGAGAACAATCACAATTGTTTTAAGTTTCCACAACTTAATTCTGGTCCAGAGGGAGAGGTTACAGCTCACAGGACTAAACCATTTATGAAGCCATTGTGTCTCTTCAGCTGGTCTGTTCAAACAGGTCAGTAATCCATCTGCTTAATCATTTTAGGGTTAAAAAAAATATATATATATATATATATATATATATATATATATATATATATATATATATAATGTATGTTCCCTACAGGAAAACCTTTGTTGATGTGACTTTGCTGATTTTCTGAGTAGATGTCTGTCTCTTTATTCTGAAGGGACGTAACTGCTGTAAACATCTGGACAGTTGTGAAAGCTTTTTGTACTGAAGAAATCTGCAGAATCTACAATTGATTAAATGAAACTGATTAATTTGCTCCAAATCAGCTGAGTCTAAAAGCATAAAACATTTGTTTTTATAACCACCAAAAAGCTCCTGCTGCTCTCTTTGTTTTGGGTTTTTTAAACCAATTTACTTCCTTGTGTTAACAGAAGTCCTTATTGGCTCCATGTTCGGGATGATTTTATGATGTTAATAAAAAAGGAATAAATAAGACAAGGCCAAGGGTTTAGTTTGTGAGACGAAGCAGCGGATTCAGACTCAGACTAATTTCTTCTGGCCACGTTCAGCTTTTACTACCAGATAAAAACGAGAAGGAATTTCCTCATATATGCTCAGCAGTGAAGTCACAGTTTGGTGGAAGTGGAGACATGTGTTCCACAGCGGCAACACAACTGTGTTAAAAACACAACGACAGGCAGGACAACAGCTTTAAAGTAAGATTATTTAGAAATCTGGCCACTTTCTTTCCTGGTATGGAGACTAGGCTGTGACTAGGTGGCAACTAGATAGTGACTAGGTGGTGAATAGGTGGCAACAAGATGGAAACTAGGTAGTGACTAGATGGTAATTAGATGGGAACTAGGCAGTGATTAGGTGGTAACTTGGCTGCGACAAGGAAACTAGGAGGTAACTAGCGACTAGGCGGTGGCTAGGTGGCAACAAGGTGACAACTAGGCAAATAGGAGGTGACTGGCGACTAGACAGTGGCTAAAAGATTAAAAGGATTTAGTTGATGTTAAAGACTGATTGTATTTGGGACTAATTATTAAAGATGGCTTAAATGATGTGGAAAACAGGACTAACTCGAGGACTCGGTGGTGAGAACGTTTATTTAATAATCTGCTGCTGCTTGTAAAGAATCTTGCTTTGCCTCTTCCTCCACCTCCTCCGGAGCGCCTGCTGACTCAAGCATGCAGTAAAATGTGTCTGTAAGACAGAAATGCGTTTGTGGAGCTGCCATTACGTAACGTTTACAAGCTCAGACTCTGTCCAGTTAAGTGTTTCTGTAAAAACCTCCAACCATAATTCAGACTCGACCGGCTGGAGAAGGATGGAGGGAAAAATCACACCTATTTACACCGTATTAGCCCAGTTGAAAGATTGATAAATGACTCAATTACTCTGTCAGAAAAGCCCATCTCCAGTCATGCCCACCTGGACAGCCACAGAACATGTCAGACGCTAGAAACCTTCCTCAAACAATCCAGGAAGTCCAGCGATCGAAGCAGAATGATAAACTGCAGGAGTTCGTGAAACCAGCTGTGAATCAACAGCAGCAACACTTTAGTGTTTTTCAACCCCTGGACAGGATAACTACCGTTACCCAGCAAGCACTGGTGCTTGGTGGATTGATGCAAATCTAACATAAACATGTTTCAGTCAGGTTTAATCATTCTGAGGAGCACTGTAGCCCTCAGTGTGGTCTGCAGGCAGTAAGTCTGAACCCACAGGCTAACATCAGTCATGGAAACTGTCTGCAGGAGCAATGCATTCTGGGTGGTCACAAGTCTATGATGTCATGCTGTTTCTCATCTTTAAAATACAAATATGCTTTGTTTTCAGGCTGATTTAACAGGATGCGGTCAGATGAGGGGGGTTGCTAGGATGCACACAATCCAAACTCACTCCTAAAGACACGGAGAGACATCAGCCAGACTGTCCAGTGATCCTCTAAATTGGCTCTAGGTCATCAGTTCAACAGACTTTCTGACTTTGGATCATTTTGACTGTTTCCATTCAGTTTGTTTGCTGTTTAGGAATATTCAAATAAAATGACTGAAAAAAGTAGAAACAGTGCAGGTACCAAATGTGCTCCGGGCTGATGTTCTTCTTCGTAGGAACCATGGATGACTTTTACAAAGAAATATATAATTACCCTTTTAATGCATACTTGGTCAAATACAGAATATACAGACTACACAACATAAATAAATACAATTTACTATGTACTCAAATTCATTAACTCGCAGGGGGAAAATATTCATCTTGTGTTGGTGAGAAAACTGCTGCAAAGATGAAAGACACTGTCGCCATCCAGCAGTCATTTGAAGAACTACACACACTGTCCTGTGTCTTGGTAGAGCAGTTCCTCCTGCAGAGTTCAGTAGCAATCGACACATAGAAAGGAAAGGAAAGGTTGGAATGTGTAATTTGCAAAGTGCCTCGAGACTACGCTTGTTGTGATTTGGCGCTTTATAATATAAACGTGTTCCCTTGCATGAACCCAAACCCATTTTCTGGTGTGTGTGTGTGTGTGTGTTTGGTTCACACAGCCACAAAAACTGGCATATTTAATGTTTCTAAGGTTTGTGTTGTTTTGAATATTAATTATTAGTAAGATAGAAGAGCTGTTCGGGAATCACCTTGTTTGAGCTAACATTCTGTTTTCTGTCAAACTGTTAAATATTTTGTGTTTTTCTATATTGAAGGAACAGGAACATGTTGGTTAGCTCTGGTTATGTTAAACCAGAGCTGTAGAAAGAGGGAGTCGCGACACTCCTATAGACTTCTATGGAAAGAATGGAATGCGGTGGTTCATGGAGCTTTGAATTAGCCTAGTGAACTAGACCAAATTCTTGCTTTGCAAAGTTTGGCGCTAAATAATACATTTATTTAGTCTGGCTTGCCAGGCTAGCTTCGAATAGTTCCAAACAGCCCCCACTGCTGCATTGACCACAGTTCATTTTCACTGTTTCTGAAGGATTTTCTCTGGTAAGTTGATGAAATGTCATCATTTTTTTTGCATTGTGAAGTGTTAGCTAACCGCTTCGTACCAAAATAAGCCAACGATGATATTTTACAGTCAGGTCCATAAATATTGGGACATCGACACAATGCTAACATTTTTGGCTCTATACACCATCACAATGTATGTCAAATGAAACGAACAAGATGTGCTTTAACTGCAGACTGTCAGCTTTTATTTGAGGGTATTTACATCCAAATCAGGTGAACGGTGTAGGAATTACAACAGTTTGTATATTTGCCTCCCACTTGTTAAGGGACCAAAAGTAATGGGACAGAATAAGAACCATAAATGAAACTTATACATTTCAATACTTGGCTGCAAATCCTTGCAGTCAATTACAGCCTGAAGTCTGGAAC